CCCCTCTCCCTCCAATGAATTTCCCATTCTCAGTCTGAACTTTGGTGCTGGGGGGAAATTAGCAACCTTGAACGCGGTATCTCGGACCAAAAAACTGTTCCCGCTGTTCCCGTAAATCGAACCCGAACCCAAAATGAGTGCAACGGCCGAGCCGAGTTTTAGCAGTTGCCTTGTCGGCGCTTGCGCACGGTATGACATCCTCCCCCTCCTCCGCAGCTGGCCTTCGTGTGCAGCACTCCATCTGCACTGACCACATTCCCCTTCCTGCCTGATATTCAGGAGAAGCTGGGCTCCCCGGGTAGTGTCACTGTGCTGATGCCACCAGCGCTCTCCGGAACAGCTTGCTGCAGCGACTCGTCGGTGTTTTGGGGGTAGTTTTGTGCCTTTTTTCTTCAGCAACCGTCTCACAAGTGCTGCGGTGCGTTCCGCTTGTCAGGCCCGTGCTGCTTACGTGGTCGCGATGAAGCATGCGTCGCTGTGCCTCTGCTTTCGTCGACGATCAAAAGTCACCGCTCCGAGCACGCTGTTAGGTGACATCGGAGATGTCCTGTGTCTTTGTCTGCGTTGATCATCTCATGCGCATTTCCAGAGAGTGGGGCTCTGGATGGCAGATCTCCTTGCACTTGCGCTGCTGCTCGGTCCTCTTCCACGCTCGCTGGAGGCTCACGTTGCTGGCTTCGGATCCTAAATTGTGCAAAATATTACAGGATAAAGCTCGTCTCGAAGGTGTACAATGGCGGACGACACTGTAAGCAGTGAAAGCGACAACATACGGATTGCCTCCACGTTCCTGCTGCATTCGCCTCCCGGCGAGTTCAATGAAGTGCGTTGATTGCCTCCTTCTCTCCTACAGCACGCTTTCAGTTTGGGCAGAACTGCGGTCCATCTGTGATAGATTTGAGGGTGCAGCTGCAGAAAGAGCGGGGACAGCCAGCTGTTCCACGCTCACTGTTTTTGCTTCTCTCTCTCTTTGGACTATTGGCACTGATGTTATCGGTATTTTGGTTGTGCTAATGCGCGTAATGTGCCTCTCAGGTTTTCAACGATGTGCGCATGTTGTTGAACAATGATTCGCTGCTGAAGGACGGCTGCGCTGCAGCGTTCGCGCAGTACAACAAGGAGCAGTTCATGCCTGTCAAAGTGGAAGGCGTCGATAAGCAGGCCAGTTACTCCCCGCACCTTTCATTTTTTTTATGTAATTTGGCGAGGAAAATGTGCATTTTTTAGTGTTAGT